TGCCCCACGCGTACAGAGCACTGACACCACACTCTACAGTTGGCACATGGGTACGATGCCAGCCAACGTGCTCTTGGTCATGCGCGCTATCAGAACAGAATAGGAATGACATTTCATCACGTGAGATTCAGTGCCCATAAAATGTTATACATTATAATGACCGTCACGGTAATAAAACGAAAATATAATAGTATTACAATGTACTGGTGTATCTGTATATACAATACAGTCATTGGGCCGTGTAATGCTCCATCATATACTATAGGGGCCAATATTCCATCCTGACATATTATAAATTATCTGTTAAAACAGTATAGTACTAATGATTACCTTCATAATAACAATATTGGTTGCAAGGCTAGCTGAAGGCCAACTGGTACCTATATACAATTACAGATATTCTATGTATAACTAGGTTTTAAAACTCTTTCGTAGTAAATAAAGATGAGAGAATGTTCATCAAACTCATCTGCCCTAATGTTTCTCATCTTTCTGGGAATAGAGAGGGACACAAGTGAAAGTGTAGTGAAAAGTGTAGAATAAAATGATCGGGTAACATCACAATCACATTAACTCATTGTTTTTATGCAATAACTTCACACCCACGCATATTTTTTAAGGAAATTTCTTCGCCATCACGTCACCAGTTGTGATTTTAAAAGGATATGTGATGTACACTTGTACTGTTGGCCACGAGACAGAATGTCCTCAAGCTTGAATTAGGGATAATCCATAATTGACAATGGTGCTTCGATTAGGAATAATCTCTAATGCAAGGCAGGGTTGCTGCTGTCATGCGGACGACGGTCGCAAACGTAAGAAAAAGCAGACTTGTAAGGATGTTTCTCAGGAGCTGGCAAGCGCTTTAAATAAAGGCAAATGTAGAAAGAAGCCAAAGACAAGTTTTACCGAATTCAAACGTGATCCCATTACTGGACGACGAATTTACCACACGCCATATCGCCCCAGCAGCTCAAGCGCCGCTACCGCTTCGACTTCGGCTTACAAGTCTGCTTTTCTTACGTTTGCGACTGTCGTTCGCCATGACAGCAGCTTTCCTGCCTTGTATTAGGGATTATCCCTAATCGAAGCGCGATTGTCAATTATGGATTATCGCTAATTAAAGCTCGAGGACATGTTGCACAAGAAACGATGGTCAAAATCTCCCTTGAATTTGTGCATAGGTGTACTGTAGAGTTATTGTGTGAAAATACGAAGTTAACGTAATTTTACACCGCTATTTACTTTTCCATAATTTACAGGAATTGCCCTGCAACTTCAGGAATTGTGGCATAGATGGAATGTGAAGATGGCGTAGTTTGTGGTGTGCATCATGTATAAGAATTATGAGGTAACACTACCCCATAAATTATCATCATCGTCATCATCAGTCATCACACTATCCCTAAGTTAACCCATGAATCCTTGCATGATAATACAATTGGAGATTCCTATGCCTATCAACATCATAATTATTTTATAACATTCCGGACCCGATGCTCAGCTGAACTGAGAACAGTACTCAGTAGGCCTACGAGTACGAAACTACAAATAGCATTATTAATAAAGATATATATATCAAACTAAGAAAGTACAACCATTACATTAGGCAGTCCACGAATATGCGTATACATTATATGTTCGCGCTAAGAGCAAGCTGTAAGACTAGAGTAAGACTAAGATTAAGAGAAAGACGTCTGGCATCAGTAGTCACCGTCACATCACTATGCTTACTGTAGATACAATAATGTAACCCAACAAGAGTAGGGTTACATCTTGTTGCGTTACAATATTGTATCTAGGCTTATAGTCCAAGATTCCTCTGCCCAATGACCACACCAGCGATTTTGGTGGATTTGGTGTGGGTTGGGTCAGAGCAACTTGCCTATGCAAAACGTGAAATTTCTCCGATCCCGCCGAGGATCGCTGTTTCATCGCTCCAAACTCACAATTGAGGCTATCAATCAAGACCTGACGCACATAGATCGAAAACTGAATAACTTATATGCTTGCTCGCGTTGGTAAGTACAATTGTACTATTTTACCTTAGTCGTTCGATTTGAAAATTTGTTGCTAACCATTTCCCTCCAACATCGGCCATCCATGATGCGTGACGTCAGGTGACGTGAGATTGCGTGAGATTGCATTGGACGATGGATGGCCGATGTCGGACGGAAATTGTTAGTAACAAATTTTCAAATCGAAACCTATTTGATATGGTTAGGGTTAGGATTAGGGAGTAGGCGTAGGCGACTCCCTAGACTCATTAGTGGAGTAGGCGAGGTACGGTCCGGCATATTAGATAGTACCAGGGTACGTTCCGGCAGTAACCTGGGGGACACAGGTGCAAATCCACTTTAGGCACCTTAGGTATCACGAAATGATGCACAGATTTCTGTGTATCATCAACTGATGCACAGACTTCCCGTATATCAAGGAATGATGCAAAAACCCTAACCCTAACCCTAGCCCTAATCGGTAGTAATCCTAACCCTAACCCTAACACACTTCGTGATACCTAATTGCCTAAGCCTAAGGTTATACTTTATGACTTAGGGTTAGGGTTAGGGCTTTTGCATCATTCTTTGATATACGGAAAGTCTGTGCATCAGTTGATGATACACAGAAATCTGTGTATCACTTCGTGATACCTAAGGTGCCTAAAGTGGATTTGCGCCGGTTTATAGTAGTACCACAGACTAACGGATACACAGACTGGACGATACGCCAAAATAGTGTAATGCAATTGAATGGTGGCGCCGCCTAGCGAATGTAGCGGTACACTAAAAATCTGGCTGTGGTGACACATCTTAGATGTGTAACGTTGTAACATTAAAACGTCTCTATCGTTAATTATAATATTTGGACTGGAGTTTAATTATACATTCCTGAATCTAGAAAGTCAAATGTTAGTCTTCAAGTAGATTTTGCTCTATTAAACGGCTGTACATTTATTTTTACATGCAAAACGATCATCCACACCGTATCACAGACCATACACAGACTAATTAATGCACAATACACACATAACATCACAATGCGTAATGTGCACACGGTATACTGTGCTACAGTCTGTAGTTTAATTTATTCCTCAGTCTGTGACCGGATTTTGTGAGATGTTTGTTTTTTTCTACAAACAATCATAATAAAAACGATTGGAGAAATATTTTTGTTAGAAGCCAAACTTA